TGCTTGCTTGCTTGTACCAGGTGGTCTCTAACCTGTGAAATAATGGGTGATGTCTGTGGCCTCCTTTCCAAGGTAACTGTCTCTTGTTGCCCTGCTGTGGCAGTATCCAACTTGCCACGGAAAAACCCGAAGGACGCTAGAACTTTTTGGCCTGAAATTTGGTCCAAGTGGTTACGGGCTGCAGGAGGTGCACTTTAGAAACGCTGCTATGTGCGCCAGAGCCATGGCGGGGTGGGGGGGAGGGTTAACTCTCCAGCAGCGTTACCTTGAAAGTTGTTGCTGGATATATCTGCGCATCCGTGATCCCAGCAGGGAAACCTGCATAGGATTTCTGGGCCTTTACTCTCACTCCCTTAAGAGAAAGGGTTGTCAACCTTGTTTCAAAATCTGTTAGTTTCCAAGGCTATTTGTAGAGAATTGTAAAAAGGATGCGCTGGATCAGACCCGGGGTCTGTTTCACTTGTCCTGTGCCACTACCAGATCCAGGAAGGGCCAGTTCCCAGGCTATGTAACTAAGGAACAACCTACCCAGAGGCAGAGTTTCTCCCTACTCCCTGTGCTTGGTTATCACTAAGGTAATTTAACAATAAAAAGATCTTTGCTGACTGAAGGCCTTAATAGTGCAAATATGATAACTCTTACAAACCTGTTTAAGTCCTCAACTTGATATCTTAGTTAAATGCTGCATTAATTCAGAGCTTGCAGTATGGTTTTTTGTTACCTTTTGAGTAGTTTCCACTAACTAATACATCACAGGTTTTTCAGAAGTGCTTCTGGATTTTGACTCTTAAGTTAGATATAATAGTAACTCATTTTTAAAGTATTTTCAGTTAACATATAAAAAATTGCAGCATAAATAACTATGCCTAGCTATTCTGAGATCCCCTGTCTTCTCTTCCAAATAAGCAGCAATCAAGCAGATACAAGTTAGATAACTTGCAGCTTTTAATATGAGATGGAGTTTCAGGTTTACTAAATCCAACTGTGGCAAATAAAAGAAGTAAGTCTTGGGACTCTGCAGTGGGGTAATTAATACATCTCTCTGTATTGTGAAATCGTCAGGGTTTGGGGGTTCTTGTCTTTTGCCTCTGTGCATTTTAATTACCTCGGTGCTGTGTTGATCTGTAGGTTTTTTGATGTTGAAAATGACTATTATGTAACATTGCTTTTGTGTTTTTGCAGTTCTTCTGTTGTAGAAGTGGGGGAGGGGGGTTTACAATCTGTGAAATTGCTTCCAGTATAGCCATAGTCTTTCTTTTTGTAATCCTTCTAGTGCAAACAAATTATATTGCATCATGGCGACAGATTCTATGGAAATTGATGATGCTTTATATAGGTAAGAATATTTGATTTAGGTGTGCTCTTGACTTTTCAGTAATGTATACATTTACATTAAGTAGTGTTAAACCCAAAGCTTGAAAACAGTATCTGCTCCCTGTTAGGTAAACGTGCAAGTGCTTGTGCTGCTGTGTCCCTGCTTTTGAAAGGGGAAAAACCGAAATGTCCAGCATGTGAAAATGAATACCTTTCCCCCAAAGTTCCTGAAACTGTGGTTAACTGTGAGAACTGGCTGAGTTGCAGATGTAAGCCATCTTCCCATAAAACTATTCCTTTATTGATGTTTTGGCAGGTATTTTTTGACAAGTAGCATTGGCCAGTAGAAAGCCCAATTATAGAGTTGACGAAAGTTTCAAAAGTGTCAATGATGCATGCTTTTTTGAAAAGCAGGACTGATGCTTCTGCTTTCTGACTTCAGTCTGTTTCTGCTTCGACAATTTTGTCGAAGCAGAGAGAGTAGATATTCTTTTCTTTGCTTGCTCCTAATGTTCTCTTGCTACATTCTTTCTTCCCTCTCCTTTCTACATTGTGTAATTTATCTCCTCCTTCAGGTCTTTCATTTATTCCTTGATCTTTGCCATACTTCTCTGTCCTTATGCACATCATCAGCGTCTCCATTATCCTCTGAGACAGTTGATAGTCAGATAAATAATTGTAGTAGCTTCAAACTGGTGTAAAAGATCTGGATAAGAGAACAATCTGCAGATGAATTGTACCTGTTCTAGCCAAGATGGTGGAGACTTCTCTTGAGACTCTTCTAAGAAATTGCGCGGGGCTGGTTGATGATAGATAAACTTAAAGGGGCCAGATCCACAGAAGCTGTGCAAGTCCTTGAATTTTTTCCTGATTCTTCCAGTAGGGTTGTAATTGGCCCTTTTGGAATGGGCAGAAAGTTTAACTTCTCTGGATCTGTGTGGCCCTCTTAAGGGTATGATCCTCATAAGATGTCTGTGCCCTTTGAATTCTAATTCCTCCAGAAACCTGACTGTGTTCTGCTTCAGTTTCCTGGGAATTTCTTCAGTCCCTTCCCCGTAACAGTAATTGAGACATGTGGATTATAAGAGAGGAGCAGACCTGTCACTTTACCCACAGAAGCTAATCTTCTCTCTTTTTTTGGCAAATAAATGTAACAGTTAGTTTCAATAGCATAATCCATTTATTATCTTAGTATTTGATGGTAATAGTAAATATAGAGTTTGATGCAAGTTTATTTCCTAAAGTGCTATATAGTGCAATTGTATGCATGTTATCTCCTCAATTACTTGTTGAATGGAGGGCTGCTAAATATAGATGTGCATATGTCACTAGTGACACAAATTCATCATTAGAACTTGGTGTTACTGATTAGAAACTGACTGGCATGGAGGAAGACAGCGATAGCAACTTAAAATTGAGAAGATGTTAACTTTCCTGAAATCACTGGGAATTCTTGACTTACGTTCTTATGTTCTTGACTTTATTTGTATCTTGTTCTGATTTGACTTTATCTTGGATGTAGTCGCCAGAGATATGTTCTTGGAGACACAGCAATGCAGAAGATGGCTCAGTCCCATGTGTTCCTGAGTGGTATAGGTGGTCTTGGTGTGGAGATCGGTAAGTTTAGGTATAGTTTACTTAAGCATATATGTAAATGTTTAAGTATATAAACATACTGCCCTGGCATGCTTCTAAAGTTTACTTTAGACATAACGAATGTCTTAAGTACCTGAATGAATATATATATATATGTTTATGTTGCCTATGTGTAACATAGCAGATGCGGGAAAACACAGTAAGATCCTGAACTTTCTCTAATAAACTTTTTAATAGAACAGCGTTTTAAATTTTACTTGCAAGTGTGCTGCCATAGACCAGATCACTTTACTCAAAATCTTGGATCTTGGGTGAAAGCTGAGGCTGGATAATCCAAATGATTCCTTTAGGCTTCCATATCAGCTTCAATATAGGGACAGCTATAAGCTGAAGTGTTACTATGGTGGAAATGGGAGCGGGTAGGGTGAATATATGTGATTTGGGCCAAGATGCAAAATTGTTCTGGTATTGGGGGCCCCTTAAATATTTCCTCGGCTCTTTGTGAACAAGACTTGTCTTGGCCGGTTCTTACCTGGCGTATTGCGTCTTCTGTTGGCTTAACGGAACTGGGTGCCAGATGCCAGAATGCAGCTGTGAGATATTGCAGTTTCCTGTCCTTAGTATTTCTACAGTCACACTCGTAGGATAAACAGCTGTAGAGTTTTTTATATTGCCTTGCTTATATTCTTCTGCTTTCAGTGGTGCTATAGAATGCTTGAACCACATTTAGAAAAAAGCAAACCCTTCAACTGTGAAGTTCTTAGGAATGGCATGTTGTTATTGTCCACCCATTTAACTTATTGCTTATAACTTTTCAAGAATTCTGCAACAGTGTCTCTCTAGCTCTTTTTTTTTTCCTCTCCTTTCTTCTAGCCAAAAATATAATTCTAGCTGGGGTAAAGGTATGTAAAACAATTTTGTTATATGGGGATTCTTGGGCAGGGGAATGGAAAGTGAGAGCATTTTTAGCTAGCTAAACTTCTTGATATTCTGTAAATGTCTTCCGGTAGAGGGATTGCAAGAGACTTGAGGACTTGATAATGAACATGTTAATAATCTAGATCATCTAGAGGTACAGTTTGATTCTCGTGCTAATATGAATCTGAGTTTTTGTGTCTTTTGAGATGCTGAAGAGAGGTGTTTTGAGATACCACACATAATATTTTAGCCAAGTGCTGATCAGACATTGAATGTGTTTGTTCAAATTCTGTTAAATTGAGTGGTATGAATTTAAAAGCCAAACTACTCAAAATGTGTTATTTCACCCATCAGACCCTGTTTATGGCCAAACATTTTAATTTAATAACTGCTTTTGTCCTTCTGGATTAATTTTAGTAAACACAAGCCTTTTAAACATTTTTTTAAATTAAAAAACTTGTTTGAATTTTTGGGAGTCCTTTCAGTTAGAGCTTGAAGTTGCGTTCTAATTGCAGTGTAACAAAAGTCATCCTAAGTTTTTAAATGTTCACGACACTGCAACCTAGGGGGAAATGCTTAATGAAATGCATCTTCCAGATATGTCCTTATCTCTGAAACACTAAGAGCTTTCTTGGCAAAGAAATTGATGGAGTTAGCGCTTATACGTGCTACAACTAGGCCTGCTGCAGTTCTAGTTCTCCAGCTTTTTACGTGGACCTTAATGCATCCTTGTGGGTACTGTGACCATGTATGATTGATTCTTCCAGTAAATTCTTTTGCCTAACTTTCTTAGGCTCTTACAGTTCACGACACCAAGCAGTGTACGAAATGGGATTTAGGGATCAACTTCTTCATCCGTGAAGATGATATTACCAGTCAAAAGAACAGGTTGGTGAAGTCTCTGGGGTGAGGGAGGGCTGAACTTCACTAGGACTAACAGTTCGATCAGTGGCAAAAATAACAGTTCACTGTCCAAGAACTGTTAGCACCCATCAGATACTCATTAAACCCTGCTTTTGGAGTTACTGGCTTTGGGTACGGTGTCCAGGTAGGTATCATGGGAAGTCTAGGTTGGGACTGGAGCCCTGTCCAAGTCATGCATCTCGTGTCTTGTGGTTGGGAGCTTATAAACAGCAAATGGCCTCATGTAAGTGTCGTAATGAGGGAAGGGGGTGCACTTCTGTCTTTGGCTTCCTCAGCCAGCAGCACAAGACTAGAAATCAGCTGTGACACCAGAACATCAGTGAGTCCAGCTGTGTGTTGAGCAGAGCTGTTTTCCTCAGACTCACTAGGAAAGAAAATGCGACTAAACGAGTTGAAGTCGTCATCACTGCAAGACTTCCAAAGGGACTCTTGTAGGTCATGTGTGGCATGGAATTATCTTGAAAATATAATTTATAGATGGATACAAATGCGAAAGTTAACTTTCTTTCAGGGCTGAGGCCACACTTCATCATATTGCAGAACTCAATCCATATGTCCATGTCGCAGCATCAACTGTGCCACTGGATGAAACCACAGATCTTTCTTTCCTAAAGCAATACCAGGTATGTAACTGTACTTAAAGAAACTGTGTAGGGTACTTTGCTCAGAGCAAAAAAAAATTATTATTTTTTTAAATTTAAGTCAAGAAAATGAAAACAGATGCAAATATTTTGAGATGATGGAAAGAAAGCAGATCATTCTTGTCCTTGGATTAGTGAAATTGTCTTTTTTTGCTTTTTGTTTCTTTGTGTTTTTTTTTTTTTTTTTTAAGGCTGAAACTATGATTTTGTGTCCCTGGCACTGACATTTGTTATGACAATAAATAACTGAATGAAATCGCTATGCAATCTTTGTGATGGTTGTTTTTATTTCCGAGATAACACAGTAACTTTTTTTATAGCCCTACTGCATGGATGTTCGATGTTTATTTTGTGCTTTGTTTTCCAGAGAGCAGGAGGGCAGGCTATATAATTGGAAGTGTCATGTATGTCTGTGTTTGAGTCTAATGAAACACAAGCACCTCTATGGTGGAATGAGGAGCTATTCCGTTGTTCAGTCAGCCGTATTTGATGTGTGTGCATGGCTCAGCACAAGCTGGGAGATTTTACTGTGTGGATACTGATTATTTACCTAAGCTAACCAAATTTCTGAATGCCCCAGCTGTAATAGAGCTTAGGATAGTTTTTGCTTACAAAGTGTAATCTTTAAAGTAATGCTTGCAAAAAATTATAGTGTGTTTGCAACCTGACAAACAGCGATGCTTGAAGTTTGTGCAGACTTCCTCATATGCGCTTGATCGGTATCAGGTGTGCATATCTTGCTGACATTAACCTTAACATTTAAGAGCTACAATTGCTCAGAGATTACCCATAACTGATTTGTAAGTATTCTGTTCAGGTTTTGGAATTCATAGCTCCGGTTAAAAAATAAGTGAGAGTCTGCTGTTCCTGCTCTTGATCTTCTTGCTTAAAGAATTAGTGGAGCAGTAACTTGTGTGTTCTAATCTGTAATGGGAAAACTGGCTCAAGACTGTTTTTTCTCTGTTACCTGTGGGGAAAGGAAACTTAGGGATTCAGGGTGCCCAAGGAACTGGCTGTTGCTACTACTTTTTCCATAGCCTGAAGGTGTTGGTTGCTTTCAGTGTCTTAACCTTGTCTGTGTTCTTGTTGACAGTGTGTCATTTTGACTGAAGTAAGCCTGTTGCTGCAGAAGAAGATTAATGACTTTTGTCATGCTCAGCAGCCACCTATTAAGGTAATATAAAAATGAAACACATGATTAATCCAAAAAGTGAACGTTTTGGACCTCCCTCAAGTTTTATACAGAAATGGAGAAAGCAACTTGTGGGGTATATGGCCTTATACAGATATCCCTTTAAGAGAGCAGCGTGGGTTTTGGGAGTATACTGCTTTCAGTGATACTGTTTTCTGCTGTGTTTCTGGATTCTGTGCATGTGTCTGATGCTATCTGGATACCTTCCATAGCGTGTGTATGTGTGGTTTTTTGTTTGTTTGTTTGTTTCTAAGGTTCTGGAAGAGAAATAGTTTTCACAATTAACCCATGACTACTTCTTTTGATCTGAGAGAACATGCCAAGACCAAATTTAAGAGTAATAAAAATCACAGGACTGCATATTGCTGCTATTCATGTTTTGAGTGGTCCTGAATGAAATGCTAATACAGGTTCAAAGCATCTCATTAACGCTCTACCATTTAGTCAGTAGCCTGGTCACATGTGACAAGTTTGCAGCAGAGGGAATGTGTACCTTGTAGCGCTGGACAAAGTTGAATGTGAGAGGTTACTCCTTTGGCTTGTGCTGTGTCAGGGATGCTGATGCTTTTTACTTTCTCTTATAGTTCATCAGTGCAGATGTCTATGGAATATGTTCACGTTTGTTTTGTGATTTTGGTGATGAATTTGAAGTGCTGGATACAACAGGAGAGGAGCCAAAGGAAATCTTCATTTCAAACATCACACAAGTAAGGGATAGAGGTTGAGCTGCTACAACTTTGCTTTCTTGTTACTTATTATTGGCTACATAACCAAGGAGAGTGTTTCGCTTAAAGCGTCTGAAATAAAATTCCTTTAGTGCCTCCACCAAAAAGCAGTCAAGGCTAAGTGCTAACACCATAGAGCATAGTGATGCCTCGTTTCCATTACTTAACCTCAACATTACGATGTTATGTTTTATTTATTTATTTTTTTTTTTTTTGAGCGAGAGAGCGAAAGAAGTAAGGAGATTTGGAGAGAAGAAGGCATAGCAGCTCTGGTTTGGGTTAAGGCTTCTAGGGAAACCCTAAACAGGCATGAAAGTAGCCTTTTTTTATATACACAAACTAGTGCAGGTATAGAGGAGGATTATTATATCTGGAACAGGTTGCGTAGAGAGGTTGTGGAATCTCCTTCCCTGGAGATATTCAAAACCCACCTGGACACGATCCTGTGCAATGTGCTCTAGGTGATCCTGCTTGAGCAGGGAGGTTGGACTAGATGATCTCCAGAGGTCCCTTCCAACCTTGGCCGTTCTGTGAGTAGAATGATCAAGGGGATGGAGAACCTATTTTGAGAGGAAATTTAGGAGTTTGTTATAACCTATGAAAGCAAAGACTGCAAAAAGAGGATATGACTGCTAATACTGCCGATGTAAAATGTTAGAGAGAATTTCTATTTGATCTTGTATTAGTGTTTTATAAAGCAGAAACAACTTGAGCTCTGTCTCTCAACTCTATGTGGAAGTTGACACAAGAGGCTTACTCGTCCAGTAGCAAATCTTTCATCTTATCTCCAGTCTAGACATACTAATAATCAAACTAGAAGGGATTGTATAACAAGTTGGATTTGATTTGAATTAAAGCTTGTGACATAATGATTTGCATGACCTGTTCTTTGGTCTCTTCAGAAGAGAATGAAAGACTCGATTGTTCCCATTAATTGCATAAACCATATGTAGTTGTTTCATGGCTTGTGCTGCTTGCCTGCCAAGGCCAGGAAAAATTTAACTCATTTTTCCTTCTGATTCATAACCTGATGTTTGAGTTTAGTTTTTGAGAACCTAGGGTCCTGGTGATGTCCTTGTTGTCCTTGTTTTCTTCTTGTAGTATATCTCTCTCTGGAGAGCAGTGAATATTCTGTGAGCCTTCTGAATTAAGCATCTCTTAGGTTTATGGTAATATAGCCTTTAGAGGGGTGGCATCAATCAAAATAACTTCTAGTCCTGAAGGTTTTACCTGCTAAATTGAAATGAAAAATAATTAAATCAAACTCTCCGCAAAAAAAGCGACAGTCATTGCTGTCGATCAACTAAAAGTGATGTACGTAACTGTGCAGCAAAAAATACATGACTCTGTTGTTATCTTGAAACTTGTATTGATACCAAAGATGGCTATTTCTCCGATTCTTTATGGCACTTGTGCTGTTTAAAGCTAAGCTTGCTGATACATTGGTTTTAATGGACCAACAACCGTGTATGGGAAGACCTGTATTTCTAATTCAAATTTACTTTTAAATCTGTAAGTTTTATACTACTTGATAGAAATCTTTCTAGCACTGGCAGTCCAGGAAGAGGTGTCTCTACAGGGCAGACTTACTTGCAAATCCACTGCGTCTCTTATGGCACTGGTTGCACCACAAGATCTTCCTAAATAAGCTGCCCTCATAATGCAGAGGGGTCTATGTGTGCTTGGGAGACTGAGCATAGTATCCTATAACATGATGTTATGTGAGACTCCTGCAAGCATCAGCTTGTTTGACTGTGATCCCCTTGAGGTTATGACTTTCCTGTGTTTAGGGATGTCTAACTCAATAAGCTTCGTAATTTTCAAGACTCAGTTTAGGGTTTAGGGTTTCCTCTTTAGAAAGGTCAGATGGAAAGGAGGCATGGAATAATAAGGACCGTTCATGACACTTCTCTTAATATATATTGAAAATTACTTCATAAGTGTAATCTTTTGTTGGGTTAGAAAAAGGAGGCCAATTTGCTACTACTACAGAAAAAAAACAATGAATATGACAAGAGCAATCCAGTTTGTTAACATGCTGAGAACTGTGAAAGGTAAAAATGAGCAAGTTTGTGTTAGGAAAGCACTATACAACTGAAAATAACTGAAGTGAAAAAATGTTATCACAAGTAACTCCCTAGTTAGGGCAGAACCTAGGTGTAGTAAAAATGTTAGTGGATGTGGTTTCTGCAGACAAGGGTGTGTGTCTAGGATAAAGCACAACTTCGCGTAAGACTCATTCTTCCCCTCCTCCTTCTCTCCTTGTTAACTTTCCCATTTTTGCTTTCAGTCAAATCCTGGTATTGTCACTTGCCTTGAGAATCATCCACACAGGCTTGAAACAGGACAGTTTTTAACTTTTCGGGAAGTTAATGGAATGTCATGCTTAAATGGATCCACCCACCAAATAACAGGTAATCTGTTACTAACTTTTTTGCATATGTGTTTATTTTTAGCCTTTTTAACTCATTGCAGTGATAGTTATTGTGGACAGAGAAGTGCTGGGTTGTGTAGATCCACAGTAAATCAGCGCGCGCAAAATTTCCTTCTGGTGCGGAGGTCATCCTAGTGTTATCTTAATTCCACTTTCGTCTAGTAAAGCTTTTTCGACTTCATTTTGCTGCTTAGCAAGCAACTGTGAAGAGCTGGAAACTAGCTGGCAACCTTCGTGGTTACTATCCTCAGTTTGCTGACTGAAATATTTTGTTGTTTGGAGACCCCTTCTTTGTTTGGGAACTGCTTTCCCCCCCCCCCCCCCCCCCTTTTTTTGTTTTTGTTTTTAACTACTTTGTGGTCTAAGATTAAAAACAGGACCCTTGAAATATGTGGCTGAGTCTGCTTTCTCTGAACTATTGTTTTGTTTTACTAGTGCTGATGCCATGTTTTGTTCCTTTCTCTTAATCAAAGCCCAGCATTTGGTTTCAGTTTTCATGTCCTGTGATTTAAGAAACAGAACGTTTGTTTTTGTGTTGCGTTCCTTTGAATGATGCCCTAGGTGACAGGGGAGGAAGGATTTGACTTAAATGCTCTAGTTGCCTTGCAGAGCTGCTTTATCCTTTGTAGTTCTAGCCACTGGGCTAAAATGTTATTCTGAGCAATATACTGAGTGCTGCTGTGCACAGTCCAAAGAAAACCAATGGTGATTTCATATTTATTACAGATATGTGGTTATCAGAATTCTTGTCAGATCTGCTGCCCCTTTAAAAAAGCTTATTTCATAACAGATCCTGCGAAACTGATGCTTTAGCCCAGAACCTGGCAGGGAGGGCCAATCCTGTTAAAGTTAGGATGATCAACTGTGCGTGTGATTTCAAATAAAGGCTGCGCGCTAGAAAGTTACAGTGTAAAAAGCATTGGCAAAAAATTCACTTTCTCATGTACAGAATTGTAGTATGTACTGAAACTTTTAATCCTCTGTCACTGTCACAGCGCTAACTCTCTTCTCTCTTCAGTGGTGTCACCTTATTCCTTCAGCATTGGGGATACTACAGATATGGAGCCTTACTTACACGGAGGCATAGCTGTCCAAGTGAAGACACCCAAGATGTTTTACTTCGTAAGTGTTTGTTGGACAGAACCAGGTTCTTGGGGTGAAACTTGGCTGAGGAACGGAAGCAGAATTCAGCTGTGATTTGGGTGCACATGATTTGGGTTTATACTGACTTTTTTGGGAAAGAATAGTGATGCTGATGAATAAATGGCTTAGAGTAGAGAATACTTAAATTTCAAAGTCACCTGCCAGTGCAGAGATCGATATTTTATGGGCAACGTGTGCCTGTATTGCTGGGGAGTTCCATAAAGGCCCAAGAATTTGTGATTTCTTGGCAGCCTCTGTGAAGAAGAGTCAGTTGGATGAGTCTTTATGAGAGGAATTGCAAACTGCATTGTACTGCATGCCCTTTTGCACCTGCATAAAGTACATCTTGGCTGCCCTAAGTTGTCCTGCTAAAGACCTGGGAGCGTGGATCAGCCCCTTCCACTATGAGAACGCAGTGCCCAGCTCATGGGCTGTGTCTTGTGTCCGCAAAGTGGAGGCTTCCTGTTCTTGCGCAGTTGTAAAGTTTTGCAAGCACACAAGCAAGTGTGTGTAAAATCTCTGGTAACTGACCTCAGAGAAGTTACAGGCATAGGTCTTGCCATTAGGATATAACAGGTGTGTGACACTTGTTTCAGGGAGAGTTTTCCTTATTGAAGAGAGGAATTAAAACAATTAAACCAAGAGGCAAAGAAGGAAGTAGGATGTACCTCCCTGATGCTGCCTATGTACACAAGACTCAAAGGCTTTACATCTCTTGTAATTCCAAGATATTTCTGAAATCATCTTCCCCTCCAAGAAACTACACTGCCCCCCACTTTGGACATTATGGAAGAAGTCCCTGCGCTCATAAATGAGAGAAGTCTCACAGTAAAGCCCTCCTCAGCAAAGAGCATTTACACTCTGAAATTCAACAGATCTCTACTTAAACCATTTCCCAGTGAATGGTATTACATCCACTGTTGCTGTCACTAGCCTGTATGTTATTGGGAGTAGCAATGCTGTCATATTTAAGAGCAAAACCAGTGAGACTACCACCGTCCTCCATTGCAGGCCTGCTTGCAACAACTTTTGTCTTCAATAATCTCTTCTTGTGGCCTGGAGAAAGTGGTTTTGGGGGCAGTAAGGTGTGCCTTCAGCTCTTTCCGCCGATGGTAAAGAGTCTATTACTACTTTTCCCTCTGCTTTGCAGGTACTGACTGCCTCTTTCAGGGGTGGTCTGGTTGGCATATATTAAACCATGAGCAGTTGTTCTGAGCTGAAGTTGAGAACTTCACTTATCTTAGACCTGAGACCTGATATCTTAGACTGATATGCCTGAAAGTTGATCTACTTTTTCCAGCTGTACTAGGTACTCTAATAAGAAATTTTTCCTACAGAATTTGCGATAGCTTTCTATTTTATGCATCTTTCATGATATTAATAACGGAGAGAGTAATAGAAATGAAAAGCTAGCAAGAAAGGATGTTTGGTTCTCAGTCTCATCGGGGTGAGTGTTTGCTTGTCAGGTAGCAGTGACTGCCATGTTCTTGAGTGTATCGTTATTCTGAACTTTTTTTTTCCCAGGAACGGTTAGAGAAGCAGCTAACAAATCCAGTATGCCTTGTTGCAGATTTTAGCAAGCCTGAGGTAATTAGCATGTGGCGACTTGGGTGTGAGTTTTTTTTATGTTATAACTACATGGAATGTAATCTGCAGCTTTGTATGTATAAAAATATGCATCTGCAACTCTTTAAACTTGCATATAGCTATTACAGAATAAATTACAAAGAAAGAGTGGGGTATCGGTCTGTATGTAGTCTCACAGAACATGCAATCCCAGTGGAAACTTATTCATGAATTGCACTGAGAATATTGCAAGTGCCAGGCTCTCTTATCAAAACCTGAAACTTTTAACAACCTCTTAATTTATGGGAATACAAATTTTGCAAGTGACACACTGCCTTTTCCTGTGTTTAATGATGTTTGACTGATAAAAATCACACTGGAATCAAGCAGGGATAAAGGGGAAAATGTCAATCATAAGTTGGTTGGAAATTGGGGTTAGCTTTTTTTTTTTTTTCTTCTTTGAAAGAAGACATTAAGAGGTATTTCTAAAATTCAAGAGGAAGTTAGCATTTGCCTTTGGCACAATTTTAGTAGCTTATTATGGGCACACACGGCATGTAAGTCTTGGGCCCGTTCATATATTAAGCTAAATTATGTTGATTTAGTTATTTTTATTTTTATAAGGTATACTCTGATTTGTCTCTTTTTTTTTTTTCCTGCTTCTGATCCTTAGTACTCGGCTTTGGTATTGAGGTTTGTTAAAATGCAGTGCCTTCTAATATCTAATTACAAAGGGGTAACCATGTTTTCCAATTTCAGCATAAAATATTTTTTAGGGATGCCCTCATTGGACTTAGAGTAGATACTGAGTGTGTGTGAAGGGTGTTAACGTTGCTACTGTGTAATGTTTCTTAATCCCAGTTTGTAAAATCACTAGCGGAAGGTATTTCAAATTCACTTTTAATGCTACTTAGATACCAACTTTTTTGAAGCTGTGTAATTAAGGAACAAGGACCCCAAATGGTAGCAACAGTTCAAATAAACAATTGCTTTTGTTCTCTATTGTCTTAACAGGCCCCTCTGCAAACCCACGTTGCCATGCTTGCCTTGAATCAGTTCCAGGAGAGCTTTGGTCGCATGCCAAACATTGGGTAATGCAGCAGTCTTGTGTTTACTAGCTGTGATAGCCTATAATCAGGCAGATCTCTCTTATTGTGGTTACTGAATAGATGTGTGACATGGTGCTTAGTCCGTCTGATAATAGAGACAGAACTGACAACCTAAAATGTAGATGGAAAGTGTCACCTGATACCCGTTTAAGTTTGAAACAGAACTTTCCCAATAGAGCATGACACCTTCTGAGACTTGGTAGACAGAAAAAGACGATGACACTCTTGTGCTTGACCTAACCTTAATGTAGAAGTACGTCTTTAATGCTTGCTGTTAAAGCCAATATAAATTTCTAAGCTCTTCCTTCTATTTATATCCAAGCACTTTGTTCTTGGTTGATCGTGTTTCTAGAAGGAATCTGGAATGTTTAAGGGGTTGTTTCCTCTTTGGTGTCTAGATGCCCTCAGGATGCTGAGGAAATGCTGAAAATAGCTGTGTCTATCAGTGAAACACTGGAAAACAGGGTGAGTAGTGAATGAGCAGCATTGATGTGTTCATCTGCCTGTCTAAAGGCCGTGCTTCAGTTGTTGGCCCTTGCTCTGGCTTTTGTATCCATCTTTAGATGGGTTAGCTGGTTTTCTAAACACCATACAGGGTGGTATAATATAAGCACTGACTTGCTTGGTTGGAGGGATAAATCTATTGTTATTGTGTCTTATTTTTCAGCCGCATGTGAATGGAGATGTAGTGAAATGGCTCTCTAGGACTGCTCAGGGATTTCTAGCTCCTCTGGCTGCAGCAGTGGGTGGTGTTGCTAGCCAGGAAGTCTTGAAGGCAGTAACAGGAAAATTTTCTCCATTGCAACAATGGGTAAAGTTGGTTTTTGTTTCTGTACCTTTATTTTGACGGCGATGTTATGAATGGATGGCAGAGGCTGTGTGTGAGTGCTGTATGATCAAAACAGCCCGAGCAACTTCTTTAACAAAAAGAAGAAAATTTGAGACTGGATGTGGGGGGGAAAAAGTATTGCGGTTTTATGCAGGCAGAGAAAGTGCAGCCATTTTAGCTAAAGCATTCATATGTGGGGTTCAGGCATTGTATTCAGTTTGCTGTTAAGTAAGGTAAGCATCAGCCTGTATGTGCATAGCTGCAAAAGTGTGATGTGTTCCAAATCCCAGCTGAAGCCACTGCACACAGCTTCAGTGCTTCCAGCACTCCCAGAACTAGTGGTGAGAGTAAAGTTATATTAAAAACTGTGCAGTGTTATTGAGAGGGTTTGGAGTAATAATATACTGGTCACAATATGCTGAACTTGTGGCTCAGATCTCGGTGAGCTTTTTCCTCTGTGGTCCAGATGCTTTTTCCTGTCTTCTAAAAGTGTGTAATGAACTCCAAGTAACTGAATGCTGTATTGTCTTCCGTTGGCAGTAGGTACTTAGTGCTTTAAATTTCTAGATTTTGTTATATACAGAAAGTACTTTTTTTTTTTTTTAAGCTTAAGTACATGAATGTTTTTCTGAGATTTTTTTTTCCCCCTTTTACAGCTATATATAGATATGTTAGACATTGTTACACTGCTAGAAAAGACAAGCTGTGAAGAATTCCTCCCACGGTAAATATAAACAAAATATGCTATTTTATGTACTGCTCACATCAAAGTCTCAGAGAGGCTTTTTTTTAAGTTAGTTCAGTGTAATCTGCTGGAGGCATATGTTTCTGGGGTGAGAATGTGCATCTTATTTTTGAGCACTGGAGGAGTAGGAGTTAAGGGAAACACAGTCTGATTCTCTCAGTTCACATCCAAGTACAGTTTGGCATCAGTGGTACTAACGTGATAAATGACAACTTGCTACTCTTCTGTTTTTGTCCCCTACGCTTGCATAGGGGAGATAGGTATGATGCCTTGAGGGCTTGTATTGGAGACTCTCTGTGCCAGAAGCTGCGTGATTTGAATGTTTTCTTGGTGAGTATGACTGACGTTGTTAGGCTTTTTGCAAATAGGCTTTGCTAATACAGCCAGTGCCAACTGTCCTCAAATCAGTGAGAGTAACCCTGATCATGAGTGTCACTGCAGAGTTAATGGTCCAAAATTGTCATAGGACTTGTCTGTTTTGCAGATGACTTGGGTTGAATGGGATACAGACTGTCCTACGCAGTGCTTAGATACTGGAGGTAGCTTCATAGCTGGGAATCGAGTTGGGTCTTAAAAATGTCTGAGAACAGAGCTTATGTGACATCTCTGGACATGTTCCAATGCCTGTTTACTTGCATAGCGGAAAAATGTTTCCTTGTGTCAAGTCAGAACCTTTCCTATTTCAATTTTTGACCATTGTCTTTTGTCCTTCTGTTGTGCACCTCTGAAAAAGCTGGCTTTGTCTTTGCAGTAGCCTTCTCTTGGGTATTGGGAAGCTGCTATTAGGTTCCCCCTCCAAACCTTCTCTTTTCCAGGTTAAAGAAGCCAACCTCCCCCAGCCTCTCTCCATAGGGCAAGTGCTCCAGGATCCTGACCGTTTTAGTGGTCCTCTGCTGGGCTTGTCCAAACTTATTAACAGCTTTTTTGTACTGGAGGATCCAGAACTGGATCCTGTGTTCTAAATGTGATCTTAACAAGTGCTGAGTAAAGGGGAACAATCACTTCCCTTGGTCTGCTGGCTCTGCCTCTATTAACACTGCCCAGTGAGCCGTTCATCTTTGTTGCTGCGGGGGCGTTATCTGTTTAGTCTGCTGTCTGCCAGGAAACCATCTCAGCAGCGCTACTACCTACCCAGGCTGTGCCATAGCAAAAGGTTATTCCATCCTTGCTGCAAGAAGCTGCATTTGTCCTTACTGAATTTCAGGGGGTTCCCACCCCCTCTTAGAATCACAGAATCACAGAATCACAGAATCGTTTAGGTTGGAAGGGACCTCTGGAGATCATCGAGTCCAACCTCCCTGTTCAAGCAGGGTCACCTAGAGCATATTGCCCAGGATCACATCCAGACGGGTTTTGAATGTCTCCAGCGAAGGAGACTCCACCACCTCTCTGGGCAACCTGTTCCAATGCTCTGTCACCCTCACAGTCAAGAAGTTTTTTCTCAGGTTCAGGTGGAACTTCCTGTGGTTCAGTTTCTGCCCATTGCCTCTTGTCCTGTTGCTGGGCACCACGG